TTCTAATCATGTACTGATATATGTAGCTTTTTAATTACTTTTTTCTCTTTGGTGGAATTCAAAATTTTGCTAAACTTTGATAATTACCCAAAGTTAGAATATTTGTGACTTACCTCATTTTCTACGAATGTCTGAAAATGGCCCAAAGGGCCAGGAATAAATAGCATAATTACTATAATAAATAGGTATCCAAGTAATGCTCTTCCCAGAGATCATCTGCCTGGTCTTCCAAAGTGAATCCCAGTGTCTAACATTTCCGAACTTATTTGTTTTCCTTTTGCAAAGAGAAAGATATAAAGTGTATTCACAGAAAGACTTTTCATTTTCTCAGCCACCACAAGACATGACAATATGTTTATTTCAGAATCATCCTCTTTTTCCCCCTGCCTCAACATTTGCCATTACCCTCAACGTGGTTGCAAATGCTTTGGAAACTAAGTTAATAACTATTATTGATTCAGGCCCAATGTGAATAATGCAAACTATTAATTTAAGGGTGTTTCCATACTTTGTGAGTAGCAAGCAGCCAGATAACCAAGGCCCATGCTGCAGATTTAATCTCTGTGTCAGTAGATCCAGATTTTTCCATTTGGTAAGCAAACTATTATTTTCCACTTTACCAGAATCCAAGAGAGCCCCAGGCAGCTTGGCATGTCTCTCTCTGAAGTATAGATCATTTCTCTATAACCCTAACAAAGGTGTGTAAAAAGTCGCTACTTCTCCATGTGTTTTTCAACACCGTGGAATCAGGAACATCTCTGCATACAGGTGTTAAAAGAAGCTTCCACCTCATGTCTAGCATTAAAACTTAAACTGATGGTTGTTATTCAGCTGAAGACAGTATCAGTGTAAAGTGTCACCGATCTGGTCACTATCTCTGGGAGGCTGCCAGAGCTCTTACATTGGCTTCATGGTGTCGTCTGTGAAGGAAGCCAATTAAGATCACAAGATAGTGGCTGGTAATAATAAACTTCTAATGATGTTCCTGACTGAAAAGAGGTAATTAAAATGTGTATATGGATGACCCCAGCTTCTGTCGGCTCAGTGTAGCTGTTACACTGACAATGTCCATGTTTTGTTTAGGGAAAAAAAAAGAGTTAGTGTTGTCTAACAACAATAAAATAAGCAATTTAATAATATAGAAAGGCATGCCTTGGAAATGCACACCAGTTTCAATTTTGTTGCATCCTTGATAGAATTCAGTTGACTGCTATCACTTGACTGGATTTTTTGTTGTTTTGGTGACTGACTCTGTAACATCTCCTTCTCCCACACCCCATCCTTCCTGTCTGCACGCTACACTCCAGCTCCCCACCCCCACCCCCGTAAGGAGTTTTTGGTTGTTGTTGTTGTACTAGGACTAGGTCTTACCTTCTTCAGGTGCTTCTTGAAATCAAAGACCGTGTTTTGAAAAGAAAGACAATTAATTAGATAGCAAAGGAAGCTGGTCCTCTTATCACTCGATCTGGTCATGGACATAAGTGCTTCACACTTTTTCTATTGCCTAACCCTGCAGCGCAAAGCTTTCCTGTACACCTGCTCAGATCAGCTCAGCTCATCAATTTTATGTGAGCCGGTTAAGTTCCTTTAAGCCTGTCCACTGAGAGGTGGTGATAGCTCTCTGAGAAAAAGAAGAGAAAGAGAAACAGAATGCTGCTCCAGGCCTTTATCTTGATCACACTGTTTGTTTTCAAATTGATGTCTGTAATGAAACAAAGAGGATTTAATCGTGTTAAACAAAAGCCAGTTGGTACCCAGAGGAAACTCATTTAACTCTTCTCCAAGCCTTAGAGTTTCAGGTTTCTCGTCTTCCTCTTTGTGGATCCACCAGGCTGAGTTTCTTACCTGGGGCTTAAAATTGTGAGGTGTGAAACTCTTCTTTTGTTTTGACAGGTGCTCTTTGCTAAACATCAGCCTAGCCTTGGTGGTGATAATACACAGAAGGGGGGAAAAACTTCAAGACGCTAATGACTGCAGTTGCCCAACTTCTTCCTTAAACAGGTTTTATTAGCTTCCCTTCTTGGAGTTCTTTAGGATAAAGTGGGAAAACAAATTGGGCTGATGGGAAGTGAGTTGTGAAAAGACCCAGGGACCATCCGGTTTTGGAATCCCAAGAAGAAAATAAAGGCCTAGACTGCTCTTTCTTGATCGAGGAGTTAGCTGGAAGAACTGACAGCATTAAGTGTTATCTGGTAGAAGGAACAGACTCAACAGGTGACACCAATAACTTGATATTTGGCTAAGATGTCTCCAGACATGATTCTCAACCTTAGAATTTTACAATAGTGCTCAGGTGGGTGGAAGACTCCATGCTGATTATACCACCCTGATACCCAGAAAAAGGCATCTCTGGGTGGAGAGAGAAGCCTTGAGGCCAGCCCTCTTCACTGACTTGAAACTATCCCTGTGTGCTCCTTTGCTAACCACTCCTTCTCGGTGATTCCTAGATGGATTCCAAGATTCTTTTCTGCCTTTGTTTAAAGCACTAGTTTCCTATACTCAATTCTACCTGTTGTTGTTGCATTTCTCTCTGTGCCTCCCAGTATCTCCTGAATCACTCTTTCCTTGACATAACCCTTGAAGACTGGGAACTTTCCCCTTCTGCCGACACTGGTAGACCTGCTGTGCTGACCAGGCATGCTGCGGGAATGACAAGCTGTGCCACATTTCCAGATGGTGAAATAACATGGCAGTGCTGAGCTTTGGTATCAACCCACAAAGTTCTACTGCTCCAGGCTGAAGTAAAACAAACAAACAAAAACTCTTTTCTTTTTTTCTCCATATTTGTTTAGACAGTGGTGAAGTGTTCACAAAAGGTTCATAGAAAATTATTAGGGAGGTGATATGGATTAGTGGTTAAAAGTGGACCCAGAGCACCCAGGGTAAATTTGGATAAAGCTATGAATGCTTCAGGTCTCTCGGCTTTAAGATGTATATACTGTACAACAGCAACAAGATTATATGCTTGGTAGAAGCATTTAATTAATTTCCATAAACGTTTGGCAGCATCTTCAAGTGCTAGTTTGTACTCAATAATTATTAACCATTGTTACTGGCAACCTAATGGTCTTCTCCAGGCAGGTTGTGAATTCACTGAGTTTCAGCTTTTTCAGGTGCAGTTCATCTTCCAAGCACTGGCCACACTTGTCTCCAAGGTTTTGGTTGGAAGACAGTTGATTTTTTTCAGGTAAAAGGGGGTGCCTCGGGGAACCATTCTGTTTCTCAGCAAGCAAATTACCTTGATTTCTTCCCAAACATGCCATCCCTAAAATAACCAGTTGCACTGCTTAGCCTTTCCCTCTTTTCAGTCAAGGTCTTAAAGAAGATGGAATTATATATTTAACTTCAGTCTTTTTCTTGAACAAGACCTAGGAGTAAGTGTACAAAGAAAGTAGATGGGTGCTGAATGTAGTTCCTGCTACCTTCTGTTACTGCTTTTCATACCTAAAGTTTCCATATTAGGGAGAGGGCTGGTCTTGGATCCTGGGTAGTTTTTATACCCACGTTTGACTCTTTGATTATAGTTTCTTGTAGAGTTAACTATAAACTGATATATTTGGAGAAGATAACAGTTATTTGTTAGGAGGCAGAGGCAGGTTAGAGGACTTGAAGAAAAGGCCAATAACTTGGGTCATTTCCTCTTGCAGAGAGCACAAAATGATGGGCAAACTGAAGACCTGATTGATTCTGTAAATCAGATACCTGGAATTTAGCAAAAGGATGAAGAAAAAGTGGTAACCCTGACATCTTCCAAAATGGGAATATACTCATGCTTTATAGATGCACTTACCATGATCTTAACAAAATATCATGTATTTACTTTAAAAATAACAGTTAACATAGGGCTCCTGGGTGGCTCAGTTGATTGAGTGACTGGCTCTTTATATCAGCTCAGGTCATGATTTTAATGTTCATGGTATCGAGCCCCAGGTAGGTCTCTGTGCTGACTACACAGAGCCTGCTTGGGATTCTCTCTCTCCCTCTCTCTGTGTTCCCCCCCCCCATGAGCTCTTTCTCTCTCCCTCTCCCTCTCAGACAAAAAAAGTTAACTTAAAAAAATAATAGTTAATACATAAATAGCAAGGAGGGCATTCAAACACCAATTACCTAATTGGAATAATTCAACTTGTATAGGTCTGAAATTGAAATGGGCCTTGTGGCAAGTATCTTCTAGGCAGACTTCATGTTTAAGATCTTCCCAATAAAACTGTAAGAGATAAAACAAAACAAAACTCCAGTCTCATCTCTGTCAGTTGAAGCAATCAAAAAGAATATGGGTTTTACCAAATTCCCTTTTTTTTTTTTTTTTAAGTTGGGAAGTGTATGGATCGGTCCACTGTATTCCTTTCAATGTAATCATGTTACCTTTTATAGTTGGAGTTTTATGCAGATGTATAGAGCACCTTCTTATAATAATGATTCAAGCCAGCTAGGTATCCACAAAATAAAGACTAATAAGGAAAATGTCCTTTTTGCCTTTTCCTTACCAAGTAAAAATTGTCTGATTCAAAAAGAGCAAGTCTTGTCTTTGGTTTTTCTCTTTTCTACACTATGTACCCAAATACAGTGAGTTTGCCTTGCATTAGAATGTATAGAGGGCTGCACAAGCTCACCTATGGCACACAAATTATTTTGTTACGGTGCCATCTGCTGGTGTCAACCAACCAAAGACTTAATTTTCTGAAAGATTAATGGTAAGCTTCTAATAGCACTAAAGACTTTGAAGTTATTTGATTAAAATAACGTTTTGTCTTTTCTCATTTATAATTACAGCATAGACGAATTTCAAATGGCTGCATGATGCATAATTCTTCAGCACTCCAATACAGTAATATTAAATGTCACTCTATTTTAAAGTTAGAAAAATGGAGGCACCAGGCATTGCCTTGACTTACTGGTTCATGACCCGTTTGGATTCAAATTTCATTTCTTAGTTACCATGGTTCCCCTGACTTTTAAAAAAGTTCTGTTCCATTTTCCCCCTTAGAAAAGCAGTTTAAGTGCTCACTTCAGCAGCACATATACTAAAATTGGAACGATCCACAGATTAGCATGGTCCCTGTGCAGAGATGATAAGCAAATTCGTGAATTTGTGAAGTGTTCCATATTAAAAAAAAAAAAAAAAAAAGAAAAAAGAAAGAAAGAAAAGCCATTTATTGCTGTGTGTGTGATTACATCATTTTCAACACTTAATGTATCTATTCACTAAATTTGTTCTCTATGCCACGGTGTAAGGTATGGGAATAATTTGTTCCTTCCGTATAAAGCAAGCTTGTCACCCTAGTCCTAATTACTTATATTCAATATCAATGCAGTTACCAAGTATTTTTCTCAACCTACCTTCTACTGGAGATGAGAAAAAAACCACTACTCCTCCCATTTTTAAAAAATCTTTACCACTTTTTAAAAGATCTATGTGATCTTGAGTAAGTCACTTAACTTTCTTGTACCTCTTCTTTATCTGTAAACTTCAGATAATAATAGTAACTACCTGATAGGGTTACCTATCAGCTTATTGTGACTGTTAAAGAAAATCATACTTAAAAAGTTCTTAGAACAGTGCCTGTAACCCAGTAAACACACAGTAACTGTTAGTTGCTTAATCATAGTTATTTAAGCATTTCAAAGAATATGGATTAATATCAATTAGATAATCATTGCTTTACAGTAACTGCTGGGATCCCTAACTTCCTCCCAATTGGGAGATATAAAGTGTGTATGTGTGCTTATATTTTGGAGAAGAGGAGAAGAATAATTACCTTTTGTTCTCTCTCAATGATCACGTAACTGGCTTGAAATCTCAACTCCCTTAAATCCTATATAAAATCTTTCATGGTCTTATTTCTACTTACTTTTGCATCCTCATTTCTCAATATTCTTTCAGTTGCCTGAGTAAGCCAGGCTTTCACTGTCCACACTTTTGTGCAAGCTCTTGTCCCCTGTGCCTGGAGCCCCTTCTACTGCCAGTCTCTTCCATTACCTGCCTAACACCTTCTTAGTTCTCAGCTCTGCCCTTAAGGAGTCTTAAGTCGAGGATCAGATAATCTTTTCATGGACTCCGATAAAACCCAGTACTCTTCTATCCCACCCCTATGCCATCACATTTCCACGTGGTGTGAAGAGGTGGGATCTAGCATAGTCTCCATTATACTCCCAAATTCCAGAGAGGAGCAGATGCTCAGTTGGGGCTAGATAAATATTTATTTCATAGGGTCCCACAAATGAGCATGTTTACTTGGGGTAATTGAAAGAGAAGGCATGAGCTGTCTCCTATTTATAAAGTTGATTTATATCATAAGCAGTGACATCTTTCTCCAGTAATTTCCATTAGGACACCACCACTGTCACTCTCATTCATTAATATCTTGTCATTCATATATCTGTATATATGTATACTAAGTACATATAAAAAATGAATGTGATTGAGGTTTACTCATATGCATTTAGGAATTTATTTTTAATATCTACGTTGGCTAATCACGAGCATTGTGGTTAACTATGATAAGCTTAATTAAAAATTATATATGTATAACAATTTTTTCAACAAATACATATTGAGTGCTTACTGTTTGCCAGGTACTTTTCTAGGCACCAAAGCAGACTGAAATTCCTAATCTCACTCCTGAGGTTACCTCTAGGTTTTTGCTTAAGTTGTTCTTTATCTGTCATGAGAAGGGAAATCAAAAAGATGGTGCAGCACCCTGGGGGCCACAACAAGGGGAGCTCTTACTATTCCTGGCTCTAGGAAAAGGGAAGGAGTCATTCTCTAAATTCTAGTTAGGTGATTGCATGGGGAAGCCTGCTTGATAGAAGCAGTAACCTTCGGTGGAAGATTTAGTGGCATGCAGTGTGCCTTTAGAAAATGGACCCAAAGGGGCACCTGAACAGCTCTATAGATTAAGGGTCTGACTTTGGCTCAGGTCATGATTTCACAGTTCATGGGTTCAAGCCCCACATTGGGCTCTGTGCTAACAGCTCAGAGGCTGGAGCCTGCTTCAGATTCTGTGACTTCCTCTCTCTCTGTCCCTAACCCACTCATGCTCTGTCTCTGTCTCTTTCAAGAATAAACAAACATTAAAAAATAAAAAAGTAAAATAAAATAAAATAAACCAAACAAAGTCAATTCTAAGACCTTACTTCTTCCTTCCTTCTGCTGTTTTCTTTCACTTGGTGGAAGCCAAGTGGATCCAGACCACAAGATGCCCAGGTTTAAAGCAGTGCACACAGCTCAGCCTCCTGGAGCCAGGAACACCAGAATAAATCTGGAAGGACAAATCCAGCACTAGCCCTGATCAAGAACTTTTTAATTATTATTTTTTTAGTCTCTCCATCTTTTCTAAATGCAGAGTATTCTTTCAAATAACTGGCAGATTGTGTGTTGCACCGTGGGTACCCTTTATTGGATATTGGGACTTATTTTTATAAACCTATGCCTTTTAAACAAATATTAATGTTCTGTATATTTGGAAGTTCTTTTTGTTTTTTTAAAAAGGAGAGAGTTAAGTGATATAACATGAACAAATAAACATGTTCTAGACTGTGACTCTGAGGCTCACGTCAGAAATTTTAAAAGGAAACAACAACAGGATTTGAAATTCTGTGACTGTGGAATAACTAGTGATGATGCCAATTTTGTGCATCCTTTCTGAGTGTTCACTGGAGCTGCTGCAGAAGCAGGCATAGCTTGGCAGGAGCTCATGGCCGGAAAAGTGGGCCACAGAAGTTACACGCAAATGGAGAAGGATTACTGAGATCCCACAGCATCTCTGAGGAGACTGAGATTTCTTTTAACAGTGGAAGTTCAACGTGAATATGTCTAAAATCCAAAGGCATAAAATGCAAGAATGCTATATTAAACTTTGTTTCATACCACTCATTTATCTGTCATTTGCTATATAATTTTTCTTGAAAATCTTATTGGAACTCTGCTCAGTACTATACACAAGATTTATGCTTTCATAGGAAGTGCGACTGTCAGTCATTTATAAGTCAGGTGGATACACTGGCTGGTATGGTCAACTTTTTGTCAGAACCATTTGCTCAATAACTTCTTCCCGAAACCATACCCTTTGCACTTCCCTGTCCCCAGTAAATATTAGTTAATTAATCTAACAGGTTGGTACTTAACACCAACCATGTTTTTCCATGTTGTAAGTTATGAGCTTGTATGACTTCCTTCCAAGAGTTAAAAATCAAATAGTACTGGAAACATTAAGAATGAATTACAAATTGGCACTGTAAAATTTTCACAGCATTGTCATGTGCAGTTTTGAAATTGGGTGTTCATGATACTCTTTGCAATGAGACTCTGACTCCTATAAAAAATAAGAAAGCCAGCGGGGCACCTGGGTGGCTCAGTTGGTTAAGTGGCTAACTTTGGCTCAGGTCATGATCTTGCAGTTCATTGAGTTTGAGCCCTGCGTTGGGTTCTCTGCTGTCAGCTCGGAGCCCTCTTCGGATCCTCTGTCTCCCTCTCTTTCTGCCCCTCTCCCACTCGTGCATGCTCTCTCTCAAAAATAAACATTCAAAAAAATATTTGTAAAGCCAAGAACTTAAATGAATCTCCAAAACAAATCAATATATGAATTTAGGATCTGTGGTGCACCCTCTCTCTGACAATTAACAATGCTCATATGATTTTCAGAAGCCCTGGTTTCTATTCCTGGTGAGTCCATAATGAGTGAGTTTCTCTGAACCTCACCTTCATCTTTTGCACAGTGAAGGGCTGGGCCAGATGCTTTGGTTCCCTTCCAGAGTCAAGCTTCTATGGAATTATCTCTGAGACTTTTAGCATATTGTCCCTTTGTTTTCTTGATCTTCTGGATAAAAATCTCCTTGAGGGCTGAGTCTTTACTATTTAGCACAGTGCTTGCAAAATGCATAGTAGGAAGTCAGTAAATACATGTAAGACTGAATATTTCGCTGAACTATTTAAGCATAACCAGGTCTCTAGAACTATTTCAAAACATTTTGCAACTTCTACGATGTTATGTTTTCAGCTGCTAACAATATACAAAGCTGCAGGTCAATGGAGTATTTTGAATGTTTCAGAAAATTTGGCCAGGGTTAGAACTCTCCATTTGATTAGATTTCTGAAAGAGGATTCAAGTATATTTATCTCAACTGGGCAAAAGAATATGTTTGTATCTCATATTTTAGCTAGAATTTTACCTACGAGTCAGGCATTTGGTTAATCTTAAACCAACACTCTTTTTAAAGGTGACCCTATGCAAGTGCTATGGACTGAATGCTTATGTTCCCCCAAAATTTATGTGTTGAAGCCCTAATGTGCAGTGTGAATGTATTTGGAACTGGGCCCTTTGGGCAGTAATTAAGTTTGGAGAAAGTCACAGCAGTGGTGCTCATGGTGCTTTTATAAGGGGTGAAGAGACCAGAGCTCCCTCCAAAATGTGAGGATAGAGTAAGAAGGTGACTGGCTATACACAAGGAAGAGGGCTCTCACAAGGAACCAAGTTTACTAGCATTTTGATCTTGGACTTCTCAGCCCCCAGGACGATGAGAAATCAATGTCCATTGTTTAAGCCACCTACTATGGTGTTTTTGTTATAATGGGCCAAGCGACTAAAGTGGCAAGTAGATCCAGTTTGTACACAAACAAAGCAGAATCTCAGGATTAAGAATTCAGGTTGGGAAAAACCTTTAAAAAAAAAAAAAAAGAATGGGGGTGGAGGACTGGGGGCGGTATTCCATTAAGTATCCTACTCTTGATTTTGGCTCAGGTCATTATCCCCCAGTTCCTGAGATCGAGTCCCACATTGGGCTCTGTGCCAACAGCACAGAGCCTGCTTGGGGTTCTCTCTCCCTCTCTCTCTGCCCTCCCTTGCTTGCATGTGCACTCTCTCTGTCACTCAAAATAAATAAATATGCTTTAAAAGAAAATCTCTTAAGAAACGAATTCAGGTTGGGAGGAGCAACTGGTTGGCTCAGTTGGAAGAACATGTGACTATAAATCTTAGGTTCATGAGTTCAAGCCCCACATTGGGCTTGGAGCCTACTTAAAAAAAAAAAAAATCAGATTAGATGATAATGGATTCTTTTGTAAGTGTAATGAATGAGTTAGAAATCTAACAATATAATAATAAG